GAGAAAGGACTCGCTCTTCCAAAAGATCGAACAAGGTTTCCCCAAGGGCTGTAAGCGACCCGAAGAGGAGGAGGAGGAGGAGGAGGAGGAGGAGGAGGAGGAGGAGGAGAAGGAAACAGGAGGAGGAGAGGAGGAGAAGAGAGGAGGAGGAGGGGGAGGAGGAGGAGGAGGAGGGAGGATGTGGAGGATGAGGAGGATGAGGAGGTGGATGAGGAGGAGGAGGAGGAGGAGGAGGAGGAGGAGGAGGAGGAGGAGGAGGGGGAGAAGAAGGAGGGGGGGAGGGGGAGGAAGAGAGGAGGAGGAGGAAGGAGGAGGAGGAGAAGAGGAGCGGAGAGGAGGAGGAGTGTGGAGGTGTGCGGAGGAGAGGGAGGGGGAGAAGGGGAGGAGGAGGAGGAGGAGGAGGAGGAGGAGGAGGAGGAGAAGGAGGAGGAGGAGGAGGAGGAGGAGGAAAACAACTCGCCTAAGCCCTTCGGAGAAACCCTCCAGTCAGCGGCCTTGAGGGGAGTGCAGTTTTGTTTCCAGCGATTTTCGGCGTGCCCAAGGATGACAAAACAATCAGGATTTGATGACTGTCGTGGCGTTCCTTGAAGCTCCGAGGCCCTCGGAGAGCCCTTGGGGCATAAACAGAAGATGCCCCCCTCGGGCCAGGGGCGATCGAAGAGAGGAAGGATGACGACACATGAGGCGCAGGAGAGGAGGGGGAACAGGAAGTCGACCGACAGGCGCAGAACGATAGCCATGATGTTGGCGGGAGAAGGGCGATCAAAAGGAAAGGAGGGTCGGCCAGGAGGAAGAGGAGTAGGAGAAGAATGCGGAGGAGGAGAAGGAGGAGGGAGGGAGGGGGGGAGGCAGGAAGGGAGGGAGGGAGGGATAGAGGGAGGGAGTGAGGGAGGGAGGGAGGGATGGAGGGAGGGATGAAGGAGAAGGAGGAGGAGGAGGAGGAGCAGGAGGAGGAGGAGAGAGGAGGAACAGGAAGACACTCAGGAGGTGCAGAGGAGAAGGATGAAGAAGAACAAGGAGGATGAGGAGGAAAGCGGCCCCGCGCCAGGTACGGCTCATCGTGCTGGGCCTGATGCTCCTGCTGGTTTCGTCGCGGCCCCCGCTAAGAAGCAGAGGCTTGACGATTGCTTGAGGACGAGCCCTGTCTTCGGCAACCTTGTGGATCGCATAGGCTTGCACTGTTTCGAAAATCAACTCGCAAATAGTTAGCTTGCTATTCCCCCCTTGCTCCGAGAACCCTGGAGGTTTCCTGTCAGGGGGTTTGGTGCATTTCGCCTCGGGGGCCGCGTTCCCTGCCCAGGCAAAGGGGCGCACTTCGCGGATTTGAGGAACTTCGCCGAGTCGGTCGTGAACGAGTGCCCGGAGGAGGTCAGCGATTGCATTCGACATTTTTCCCGCCTTGGAGCAGGCGGTCAACATCCTGGTCATATCGGGCGGGACTTCCATAGGATTGCTTTTGCTTTTTTTGGTTTGGAGGGAGAAGATGAGGAGGGCGCGCAGGAGGAGGAGGAGGAGGAGGAGGAGGAGGAGGAGAAGGAGGAGGAGGAGGAGGGCAGGGAAGTGGAGTTGAGGGGGAGAATCAGACAGCATAGGAGGAGAAGGAGGAGGAGGAGAAGGAGAAGGAGGAGGACAAGGCGGAGGATAAGGAGGAGGAGGAGGAGGAGGAGGAGGAGGAGGAGGAGGAGACGGACGAGGATGTGTCATGGACCAACCTGATGGAACCTTGAATTCCGCGGTTGGTATCGTTGCCCCGGGCGCCCTTGCAGTGCGAAGGGAAGTAGGAGGAACGGAAGGGGAGTAGGATGAGGGGAAGGAAGAGGAGGGGGAGGGGAGAGGAAGGCTTTTCTAACTTAAAACGGCTCTCATGGTGGATCGGCCCCAAGCTGGGCTTCGACCTTGAGCCAGATGAGCTCACGCTGCCGCTGGAGACCCTCGCTTCGTACACGCTGACTCCCACTACGGTGCACGCGATGCCAATGCACAAAGTATTCCAGGCGTTGTGGCAAGCGGGGCCGCTGCAACGATCCTTGAGCTTGCTTGGGCGCGAGGGCGCCAATGGCATCAACGAGTTCTGGCGCAACGCTCAGCACTTGGACTGGGCGCGACGCCATCCGGAGCTTGCGGGGTACACCTTGGACGATCTCGTCCGCACCCTTGGGATAGTGATCCACGTTGACGGAGTGGAGGTTCCTGGACAAATATGAACGCCTGATTTGCCTGTTTTTGTTTGAGTGCCTCCCTCAGTGCCCCTGTCCTGCACGATTAGATCCCGAGGTGTTCAAGAACACAGAGTACGTCGTGTTCAGTTGGAGCACAATTCATACCGCAGGACATCCGAAAAATAAAAACGGCATCAGCATGGACGTTAAGATATCCGCGCGGACTCCCCAGGCACGTGTGCGCGCGGAGCGCAGAGCCCAACTCCGACCCAATCCGCGCGGACGTCCGAATGTGCATGCTGATGTCTTTTTTCTTTTTTCCGAGACACGCGCCCCCGCTGCGTTCGTATTGTCGCGCGCCAATCCTCGCTCTCGCCCCCGTGCATATGCGAGAGAGCGGGGAGAGGTCGCAAGGCAATGGTGCAACGCACGGGCGTCTCGCAAGGAGGCACGTGCGTGTGGGATTGCAAATTCCCGATATTGGCGCTCCCTTGCGCCTTAGTGAGCCAAGCGGCGTCTCGAGACGCCATGTTGATCGAGGTGGGCTTGGAATGGGGAGCTCCTTTGTTTGAGTGGGCTCGGCCTCATGGAGAGCGTCGAGGGCCCTCATTCTCAGGGGATGTCTCTTCCATGTCCATGTCGAGGTTGCTAAATACATCGCATGGGGCCTGGGCGTCATCGCGTCAGGGTGCCGTCCACCGTGCGATCACAATGCCAACGAGCTGCCTGGAGCTGGGACTCCTCTTGCAGAAGGGTTCCGAGGGGTGTGCGTCGGCTTCAAGGGCGACCGCAAAAGCAGGCGCCGATACCCATTACAAACCCCATGGAGGCCAGCATTCACTCCTTGGCACCCTTCTGAGGCGCGAGTGTCACTTTTCCGAGCGCAACTACAGCGCGACGTTCATTTGTGAACGATGCTTGGCGTGCAAGCTTACAAGCAAAGGCGAAAAGGGAGAAGAAGGGAGGGGAGAGAGGAAGGAGAAGGAGGAGGAGGAGGAGGAGAAGGAAGGGAGGAGAGGAGGAGGAAAACTAGGAGGAGGAGGAGGGAAGGCAGGGGGGATAGGAGGTTAGAGGATGAGAAAGGGAGGGAGGGGGGAGAAAGGAGGCGAGGAGAAGGGGGGAAGGAGAATCGGCTACATTTTTAAGATGCTCTTGCAAGGCATCCCGGAGTACAATTTTGGGGACTCCACCTTGCACGCTGGCTGGCGCGTGACGCAGATGGATCACGATCAATGGCTTGCCTCGGTTTCTCGTGAGAGCCCTTTTAATGTGGTCTCTGGATTTCATCTTCAAACTTTGTGGGATGATCTGCTGCACGACTGGTACCAGGGAACAGCTGCGGACGCAGTTGCCAATGGTTTGGTCGTGCTCGTTGAAGGCGGACATATCGCTGATACATCGGGCTTTCGCCCATCCGCCAATCCCGTATGTGAGAACTCTGACACGCGTGTTATAAGGCAAACAAGACAGTATGTATGTATGTATGTATGTATGTATGTATGTATGTATATTCATGTGTATACACATATATATATATATACAGAGCCAATCCGATGTGCTTGGAATCTCAGTTCTTTGCTGGATTGCGGGCGAGCACGGCAATGCCACGCGGGGAAATCATGCTTTCAAACTCGTTCGGGAAGATTTCAAGCAGTGGCGGGGGCCAACACGACGGGCCCACCCCATGCATCCCCTCCACTCCTTCTCCCAGCATGGGAGAGGGGATGAGGGGGACGCGTGGGCGGAGTCAGTCGGCATGCGTTTTCGATTTCCCAGGTGGTGCAGAAAGAACGACATCAAACCGATCCCAGTGGATCTCACCATGAGCACTTGTGGAAGGAACAAGCAAACGGAATACCCCGAACTGAGCACCAAGGTTAAGGCCGCACATGTGAAACTGCTTTGTGGGTATATGGCAGACTTAACATGGCGGTGGTCTCTCCCTGGAGAAAAACACGCGTTGCTTCGAGTTCTCTTCTGGGCTTTGGCACACTTCTTGCACGTGCTTGATTTGAACGGCACGTGGATGCCTGATCAGCAGGCCGTGGAGGCCCAGCACGCCGGCTACACATTTTTGTACGCCTTCCAGCAGGCGCCCGCACGTCAGAAAGGAGGGAGGAGGAGGAGGACGAGAAGGAGGAGGAGGAGGAGGAGGAGGAGGAGGGGAGGAGGGGGAGGAGGAGGAAGGCTCGAGGATGATTGAAAGGAAGGCCTCGAGGAGGATAAGAGGATGAGGACGAGAAGGAGGATGAGGAGCAGCAGCATGAATGAGGGAAGGGTGTGGGATATGGACATGGGGAGCACGACGAGCAGGATGAGGAGGAACAGGAGGAGGAGGGCAAGGAGGAGGTGGGGGAGGAGGGGGAGAGGAGGAGGAAGGCTCGACGAGGATTCAAGGAGGGCTCGAGGGGAAGAGGATGAGGAGGAGAAGGATCAGGAGGAGCAGCATCAGCAGGCATGAGGGAAAGGGGGTGGGGGATAGGAATTGGGAGGACATGGAGGAGGAAGAGAAGGATGAGGAGGAGGAGGAAGAGGAGGAAGGAAGAGTTCAGTTCTGTGTTGGATCCATCAGATGAGCAACGTCGCTTTCGCAGAGGGCCAGTGTCTCTGGAAAATCAGGCCCAAGTTCCACTACTGCACGCACACTGTCGACGACATAGGCCTAACAAAATTCAATCCGCGCAAGGCTCATGTTTTCATGGACGAAACGTTCATGGGTTGTATTGCTAAGCTGGGTAGGGGTTGCCATCCAAAGCAAGCTTCCAAAAAAATTTTGGAGCGCTATCGCGTGTTCGTTGCCTCGCGCTGGATCAAGCGCCAGATGGCGAATCGTTTCACTATTTAGATCGCGAGTGCACTCCCGTGGGAGCGCTGAAAACGAGGGCGAGGATCGAGGAGAACTTAAGCGGAGGAGGAGGAGGAGAAGGAGCAGGAGGAGGAGGAAGAGGATTAGGACGAGTACTGAAAAAGAGGAGGAGGAGGAGGAGGTGGGAGGAGGAGGGAGGAGGAGGGGCAGCAGGAGCAAGAGCAAAGGCTACGAAGGCAAAGCATGCGAGGGTGTGCGCAAGATTCTCGGCCCGGGGAGGCTCGCCCGCGAGGTCGGAGGCCGCGACGGCCGTTGTCGTTGCCGTTGGCGTTGCCGTTGTCGTCGTCGTCGCTATCGTCGTCGCTGTTTCTGCCGTCGTCATTATAATGACGACGGCAGAAACAGCGAACGACAACACAATAAAAACGGACCCGTCGACACTACGACGCTACAGCGACGTCGCCAACGACAGCGACGGCAGCGGCGCCGAAGCCGACGACGACAGCGACGACAAAAACAGCAAACAATAACACCACAACCTCAACAAAACAAAAAGTGTCACCCGACACAAGGGCGGCACCACGACAACGACAACGACGGCGACGACAACGGCAACGACGGCAACAACGATGGCGGCGGCGCCCGCAGCGGCAAAGGTGACAACGCCCTCCTCCTCCTCCTCCTCCTCCTTCTCCTCTTCCTCCTCCTCGTCCTCCTCCTCCCTTCCTCCTCTCTTCTTCCTCCTCCCCCTCGTCGTCCTCCTCCTCCTCCTCTTCTTCCTCCTCCTCGCCCTCCTCTTCCTGGCCTTTTTCGTCCTCGTTCTCCACCTCCTCCTCCTCCTTTCCTTCCTTTTCCTCTTCCCCTTCTCGTCCTCCTCCGGTCCTCTTCAGTGGCTCCTCCTCCTACCGTACTCCTCTCTTCCTCGTCCTCCTCTTTTTCTCATATAGTCCTCATGTTCTCTTCAGCTTACTCCCGCCCCTCTGCTGCTATTCCTCCTCCGTGTGTGTTCTGCTTTTCTAATTCTTCTCCCTTCTCATACACCCTCTTTTCCTGCTTTGCTTCTCTTCGTTCCTTATCCTGCGCCTCTCCTTCCCCCCTTGTGTCCGCCGAAAGGCGGTGATCGTGCTGTTCAGCTTGACAGGACATTTGTCCTTCTCCTCGTCGCCGCTTATTGTCCTCCCATTCCCCAAGCGTCAAATCCAAATGTTCCCCTTCTTCCTCGCCCTCCTTCTTGCCAATTTTGGCTCAAGGCTATTCGGCCCGAGGGCCCTTGACGGCGATGCATGCATCCGGCGCCGTTAACGTGCATCCGGAGCCGGTATGTGCGTAAAGCCATGGGATGCGCTGGCTGTCTGCCGATGTGCGCCACGCGCGCATTTGGGCTGTGTCGGCAGGCGCCTGAACCTGATCGCGGCGGCCGGCCCAGTTGCCGGCCCGGGCGGCTCGGGCGCGCCCCAGCGCACCATTAACTGGCGGACGTGGTGTGTCCATGTGCCAGCCGCGTCTTGGGCGAGAGCCAAGACCGCCTTTGCCTCGGCGTATCTCGGCTCCACCTGGGCACGGCAGTACAGCCGGATCGCGCGCTCTTCTATGAGCGTCGAGAGCCGCATCGGCCACCCCACATGGCGGAGGAGGAGGGCCCGCGGGATGGGCCCGCAGACTCCGAGGGCCCCTCGGGCCCACCGCTCCTGGATGCGGTTGAGCGTTGGCCCACTCGCCTTCGCGTGGATGCACAGCTCGGCCCCGTGCACTGTCTTGGGCTGGGCGCAGGCAGTGACGCCGAGGGAGATCTCCTGCAGCGAGAACCCCAGGCCGCTCATCGTCTGTATGTGCCGCCGCCCGACCTCGCCCGCCGCCCGCTCCATGGCAGTGAGGTGCGCGCTGCCTGGCTGCCCTGGCGATCGCTGGACGCCCAGGCTCCGGTACTCGTCCACGAAGGAGACACCGCGGGTGGGCCTGGTGTCCGCGAAGCCCCGGGCGAGGATCGCTGTCTTGGTGGGTCCGTAGCGGAGGTGCCCACGATGGCGGCGGGCGGCTTCCTGGAGGGCCTTGACGACGACCCCGCACTGCGCTCTCGAGCTCGCCTTGGCACGGACATCGTCCACAAATGCCCTGGGCCCGATCCTCGCGGTGGAGAACGCGTCCAGGAGCCCCAGCCGGATGGCATCCGACGACGCTGCTGCCATGCACCCATCCCAGTCCACGTGGCTGTCGCTGAGGAGCTGCGCCCATTGCTGGATTTCGTGGACGTCCAAGTGATCCGCGTCGGTCCCGTTCCTATGGGCGCGGTAGGCCGCCAGCGCCGCCTCGGGCGGGTCAAGTCCAAGGCCCACGCCCGGCACGCTCGCCACCTCCTCCAGCTTGTCTGCGTTGGCGAGGCTGTATTGCGCCGGGCTGACCCGGCCCTCCGGCATGCCCACTCTCGGCCGGAATGGCCTGGTGCGGCCTCCACGCCCGGCAACCACCACAGTGGTGTCTTTCAGCATGGACTCTGCGAGGAGCCATTGCCGGCCTGTGATGCCCGCCCTGTCGTGCATTGCCACCGACGCCTCTGTGCGACCCTGCGAGTCGAAGGCCTCCGCCTCGTCCGCGAATACGTCCGCGCAGGGGCGCCCCTGGGACGCACAGATGGCCGCCACCTCCTGGTCCAGGAGGCTGGAGACCAGGCTGTCCCCTCCCGCGTCCTGGAGGGCCCCCAGCCCGCCCTGGAGCAGCGCGCGGCCGCGGCCGCCCCACAGCTCTTCCGCGAAGCGCCCCTCCGCCGAGCACAGCGCGAGGACTCTATAGCCGCCGTAGTCCACACGCGGCTTGCCATCCTTGTGCGAGTGGTAATTATCCTGGACGAGCCACAGGCCAGGGAGGCGGCCAAGCCGGAGGCTGAGGGTGGCAAGGTGCAGCAGGGATTCGAGTACACCCACATGGGTACTGTGGAGGATGGCATAGGGGAGGCCCCTGCATTGGGCGCGCAGGCGGATCCTCCGCAAGGCCTGGCCTGCCTCTGCAAGGGTGTACGCCTCCTCCGGGCCCCACTGGGAGAGGGCGCGCCTGGCCTCCGAGCGCTGCCGCTCCAGGCGGGCCCGCATCGCCGCCGCGTGCTCCGCGTCCCATTCGCCGCCCCACGGCGGGTCGTCTCGCCTCAGGATGCACCGGCGCGCGCCATCCAGCACCTGCTCCGTGCCGACGAGCATGCGGTCCTCTTCCTCCGGATCCCGCATGATGGCCGGCAGGCCCTCCGGCGGCCCAGCCGAGTGCTCCTTGAGGACTGTTGCCGCCGCCAGCGGGCTCGTCTGGAGGAGGGCCAGCATCCGGTGGCGGGCGGCGTCCCGCTGGGCCCGGGCGCTCGCGCCTCGGACCTCCCGGAGGCGCTGCCTGGCGGCCTCGAGCGCAGCAAGGGATGTCGCCGTGGCTGCTCGCTGGTGCCGGGCGGCTGCCTGGGTCACCTCCCGGAATGCCGCGGCCTCAGCCGCGTCAGCGTCATGCCGGCGGTGCGCTGCGGGCGGTGGCGCCCAGGCGAGGTCCCCCGCGGCTGCGGCCAGGGTGGCCGTCGTCCGCCATGCCCACGCCGCCATGTCCAGCGCTGCTTTGGCTTCCTGCGAGGTGGCTCGGGCCCAGGGCGGCTGGTGGCATCGGGCGGCCAATTCACCTGCCAAGGTGGCCATGGCTCCATCCGCCCAAGCGGTCATCTCGTGGTTCCACTTCTCCGGGTCTTTGTCGTAACGTAGGGCTCCCCCATCGGGCCCCGCTTCTGCCTCCACCGAGGCCGCAGCCCACGTGACTGGATGGTGGTCCAGATCGCGGGAACCCAAGGCTTCGCTCCGCGCCCGGCATAGGGCCCCCTTGCACCCATTGCCCCTGCAGTGCTTGCCGTTGTGGACCTGGACCATCGCGCAGCCACCAGCCGCTGGGGCAAGTACCACATCCAGTCTTCTTCCCCGGACGTGGGTGGCTACGCCCTCGGGGATCATGTGGCGGAGCCCCCGCTGCTCGACCGCCGCGCGGACCTGTGCATCAATGTCGTCTCCGGGGTTGAGGTCCCCCGCCATGTACACCTGTGCGCCCGGGTGGCGGCGGCGTCCCGCAGCTCTCGCGCGGTCGCACTCAGAGAAGAGTGAGCGAACCGCGTCCGCCCGAGCGCGCTCGTTGGCCCCCCTCTCGCGTGGCGGGATGCTGAAGCCGCGCCAGTACTCCCCAGCCCCCGTCTGTGCCCAGCAGGTGCCCGGCCCGCTGGACCAATCTGGGAGGTGAGCCGCAGCATCTGGCTTCCCCCGGTGCACGAGGACGGTCACTGCTCCGAACCGGGCCGCGCGCGGACCGTGCAGCGTGTAGGGGAAGCTCGGGAGGGCGACCGCAAGGTTGGTGCCTTCTTGGCATCTGCACGAGACGCCAAAGAACCAGGCGGCGTTCAAGGCCGTCATGACCGCGCCGATGTCCTCCCAGCGCCGGGGGAGGATGGTCGCCCCCCCGATCTCGGCTCCGCCGCTGAGTCCAAAGTTCAGCATGCCCGCCGTGGTGGCCGTGCCGGGGGGGCGCGGCATCGCGGCTGGCGACGGCGGAAGGCGGCGCTGCAACTCCGCGCGCGACCTGCTGAGCCGCCGCGCCAAGGCCGCCGTGGCCGGGAGGTGCCGGCGGCCTGCCAGGCCACCCGCCTGCGGGTCCTCCCATCCGGGGGCTCGCCGCACGAGGTCAGCCAGACAATCTCGCCACGGCCCCGCCACCGCTGGCCGCCAGGTGGCCAGGGCTTGCTCCAGCTGGGCGGTCCGCTCGTTGAGCAGCTGCTCCTCCGCGCTACGGAGGTCGGCGTCCACCCGGCGGGCATCCGCGGGGGTGCTTCCTGGGGGGCAGTTGGAGGTCAGCGCCGCGATGACCTCCCCCCCGAGCGAAAACCCGCCTGGCCGCCCCGCTGCTTCGCTCTCTCCGATAGCACTCCGTAGCGCACCCTGATTGGGTTGGCTGCCGCCGTCACACTGAAATCGCTCGCCCTCCGTACCTCACCGCTGAACTGGTTGGCAAGCACCTGGGCCACTGCGTCCGCCGCACTGGGAGGCCCCGTTCCCAGGCGGACGCGCGCCGCCCCGTCAGCCCAGATCTGGACCAGGGTGCCCTGGTAAAGGGCGAGGGCCCACGGGAGGTTGGTGCTTGGGGGGACGTTCTTCACGCCGAACTCCCTGTCGAGGACGTCCCACACCCCCGCCAGGCCCATGCCGTCGAAGATCTCCGCGGCCGCCAGCACTGTGATCGTATCCTGGTGGTGCCGTTCCCACTGGGCGCGTTGCTCGAGCTCAGTGCGCTGGGTGCGCTGCGCGGCCCGGACCGGGTCCATCTGCCGGCCTGTCAGGCGGCCCTGCTCCGAGTTCCCTGGCTGGTAGGCTTTGTGGGACCTACGCAGCATCTCGAGCAGGGTGGGCTGCTGCGTCCACGCCCCATCTAGGCGGACACGCCCGTCCGTTGTGCGGAACCAGTTGATCGTCAACCCGATGCCCCGTGCCTTGACACAGGGCGTCGTGGCCGTGCATTTTGGGGTGAGGTGCGCGTTGCCGGTCACCTCGCCCCGCTTGGCTGGGTCCATCACGTAGGTGTCGACGAAGACCCCCGCCTGCGCAAGCGCCTCGAACCACTGCCACAGCTGGTCCTCCCAGGTTGCGTCCGCGGAGTGCACCGCAAACTCCAGCTCCATGGCCTCCGGCCCGGCCGCCGGGCGCCACCCCGGGAGGAGCGTGTCCTGCAGGTACGCCAGCCGGGGTCGAGCTGGACGCTCCGCTCTGAGCCGGGCCCAGTGACTCTCATCAGACAAGCGGCCATTCTGTGCCGGCCGCGCCGCCACGTCCACGCGGGGCAGGGGCATGGGCAGCGGGGCGCGCTCCGCAGGCGGCCTGCCAGGATCGGGGCCAGGCGCGGTGCTGGCCGTCTCAGCCATCAGCGGGGGCCCGTCCGCGGCCGCCCCGGCGGCCTCCGCGAGGAGTGCCCCGATACCGAGGGGGTCGTCCGGCGAGCTCCCCTGAGCCGCCTCCTCTGCGTCTGAGTCCAGGGTGGGGGTCCCGCCGGCTGGGGCGGCTGCCGCGGCGCTCGGCGGGGCTGTTTCCGCCGCTTGGTCAGCACGCCTCTGCTGCTGGGCTGCAACGAGGCGCTCCCGGTGCTTTGCGGCCCCCTCGGCGTCGCCCAACTCCTCAAGCGTTTCCACCAATTGGCTCAGCTTGAGCTCGAGGGCAGTGGGCCCAGCCTCTGCGAGCCGGCGCCCCTGGAGGTACCCCGGGCGCTGGGGGGGCACCGCTGCGGCCGCGCTGGCAACCCCGTGCGTATCTCCGCCAGCGGAGGAGCCAGCCCCCGGCTCCTGGCGCACACGCGCCGCCGAGGCCGGCCCCGCCGCCTGGCCCGGCAGGTCTTCAGGCCCGTCTGCGGGCGCGCGCAAGTGGGTCTGGATGAGCTCGGGGGTAATGTACTTGTGGCCGTGCGGCGTCCTGACCCGTAGGCTCCCCGCCCGGCAGTGGAAGTTGCCGTCGAACTGGTCGTTCGCGTAGTGGGTGGTCACACGGCCCGCGACCCGCTCGCGCCTGGTGTGACTCCACACGTCCACCGCGTCCCCCACCTTGTGTCCGCCGGGCTGGCCCGTTTGGGAGCCCGCCGGCGGTGTTGGCGAGCATACGAGCCTGTCTTCGTCCGGTTCCGCTCCGCCCACTGCGTCTCCCGGGCTCATCTTGGTCACAGTCTGGGTAGCGTCAGGCGAGTCCGCGCCCCGCTCTCGGCGCTGCCGCTTGCTGCTCCCGCCGTCGGCGGAACCGGGGGTCGGGCTGCGTTTGCGGCGGCGGTCCCGGCGGCGGTCCCGGTCACGGTGCCCGTGCGTGTGCTCCTCAAGGGCATCCCGCACGACCTCGCGCATGGAGGTGGAGGGCACCTTCTCCTGGAAGTACGCTGTCGCAACATACGCCGTCATGATCTTCTCGATGCGGCCCGGGTCCACGGTGCGGATCGCCTCGGAGCGGAGGAGGGCCACCGTGGTCTTGACGAGAGCCTGCTTCCAGTCCGAGCCGCCGCGGCCCGGTGCTGCAAGCGCTTTCATGTGCTGCTTGTGGCGGCCCACCAAGAGAGGCGTGGCAATCTCGATCGTCGCGCCCAGCTGCTGGAGGAAGGCCGTATCCGGGGCCACTGGGGCTGCCATGGTGGCGGCGCGGCGGGTCGTTTCTGCTGCAGTGCCTGGTGTGGGAACCTTGAGCCAAGGTGGCGAGCTGCGATCACCCCACCCTGGGCGCGGCCGCCCCCCCCCGGGTTCGCCGTCCTGGTCTGGCTGCGGACAGTGGGGGGAGGTGCGACGAATTAAGGTGCCAGGGCCGGCCCCTGCCCCAACGCGCGCCAGCGACCCGGCCAAGACCGAGCCGACTGGCGGCATGAGGTGGGTACGCGGCGCGGCCCTCCCGCCCGTCCCACCGCCCGGGTCGCACCTGCTCCTCGGTCGGGGCGCCCCCCCCGAGTCCTGGCGGGCCTCGGCCGGAGGAGGAGGAGGAGGAGGAGGAGGAGGAGGAGGAGGAGGAGGAGGAGGAGGGGAGGAGACGGGGGGAGGGAGAGGTGCAGGGGGGGAGGGCCCCGAGGGGGGGAAAGGGGGCCGCCCCGCCCGGCCACGCGCCACGGAGAGGCGCGGGTCTCAAGGGCCCTCCAGGGAAGGTCCCAGGCACCACCCGCCCCCGGCCACGCCGTCCCACGGACGGGGGTCTCAGGGGGGCGCGCTGCCACCCCGCCCGGCCACGCGCCGAGGAATGGCGCGGGTCTCAGGGGCCCTCCGGGGGAGAGACCTCCCCGAGCCCCCAGCCTCACCGTCCCACGGACGGGGGTCACAGTGGGGCGCCTGACCAGGGTAAGCTGAGGAAGGAGGCCCCGCCCGATAGGCGGGAGGAGGGGGAGGGGCACGGGGCGGGAAGGCAAGAGGAGAGGGCGGAAAAGGGGAAAGGGGAAAAGGGGAGGGAACAGAGGGAAGGGGGGGGAAGGGGGAAGCCTCCTCTCTGCGTACCAGAGCGTCACCGCCACGGTGGCTCGGCCAGCCTCCGGGCCGGGCCGGACCGTGGCCCCGGCGCCGGGTCCTCGTTCAACTCGCCGTGGGTGGCCGGCGACGGGTCCGACGGCGGCGACGACGACGACGACGACGACGACGACGACGACGACGACGACGGCGGCGGCGGCGGCGGCGGCGACGGCGACAGCGACGACGGACGACGGCGACCGACAGCGACAGGGACGGCCAGAGAAGCGGCAGGCAGGCAGGAGGAGGAGGAGAAGGAGGAGAGCGGGGAGGAGGACGGGGAGGGGCGGGGGAGGCGGACGGGGCAGGGGTTCCCCCAAAGGCGACGACGGACGGCGGACGACGACGGCGACGACGACGACGACGACGGTGGCAGCGGCAAGGACCCCCGCTGGCCCCCCCGGGAGGCCGGAGAGGCGCAGGTTTTGTTGCTCTCTCGCTCGCAGCGGTCGCTGGCTCCCCCGCCAGGCCGCTGGCGGCGCACCCTCGGGCCGCCGGCGCCCGTCGTCGGCGCCTGCCGAGCCGCCGGGGGGGCTGTGGCTGGTGGCAGGGGGAGGACACAGCGGTTCTCACACACCGACCGCACTCCGCCTTGTCCTCCCCCAGCTGCGCAGGTCGGCCCCCCAGGGGGGGCCTCGCCGCGGGCGACGACCACGACGGCGACGGCGGCGACGGCGGCGGCGGCAACGGCGGCGACGACGACGGCGACGACGACGACGACGACGACGACGACGACGACAGCGGCGACGACGACGACGACGACGGCGACGACGGCGGCGGCGGCGGCAGCGACGACGGCGGCGGCGACGGCGGCGGCGGCAGCGGCGGTGACGACGGAGGCGGCGGCGGCGGCGGCGGCGACGACCGGCCCCGGGCTCCCCGCCCCCTGGGGTTAACCTGCGCGCATACGTGCCTGGCCAGGGCTGGGCTGGGGGCTGCGGCGGGGGGGAGCGGCGGCGGGGGGGGGGTCGCGGCGGCACGGAGCTCGGCGTTCCCTCTCACCACGTGGACCCCCCCCCCCACCGGCGGCCCGCCACAGACCGCGGCGCCGACGGCGACGACGGGGCCGACGGGGCCCCGGGGGGGGGGAGGGGCGCACGAGGGAGGAATTCTGAGCGCCCCCCAGGGTGCGCTCAGAATTCCTCCGGAGGGAGCGGCGGCGTTGCCGCGGCCGTTCAGCGCCGCCCAGTCCGCCCTCCGTGGAATTCTGAGCGCCCGCCAGGGTGCGCTCAGAATTCCCCCGGGGGGGGGCTCCGGCGTCGCCGCGGCCGCACAGCGCCTCCCATCGGGTCGCCCGGGACACGGGAAGCCGCGGGCAGCCCAATCCAGCTACCTGGCCAGCCGGACCGGGCATTCTGAGCGCACCCCAGGGAGCGCTCAGAATGCCGCCCGGCCGCCCAGGCGCCACGACTCGGCTGCCCAAGCCGCCCCCGGGGAATTCTGAGCGCCACCCAGGGTGCGCTCAGAATTCCCCCGGGGGGGGCTCCGGCGTCGCCGCGGCCGCGCAGCGCCTCCCACCGGGTCGCCCGGGACACGGGAAGCCGCGGGCAGCCCAATCCAGCTACCTGGCCAGCCGGACCGGGCATTCTGAGCGCACCCCAGGGAGCGCTCAGAATGCCGCCCGGCCGCCCAGGCGCCACGACTCGGCTGCCCAAGCCGCCCCCGGGGAGTTCTGAGCGCCACCCAGGGTGCGCTCAGAATTCTCCCAGGGGCCGCGGCCTCACCGCAGCCGCTCGGCGTCTCCTGCAGGGCGCCCTGGGGGGGGCGCTCCGCCTCCGCCGTGGCTATGGGGGTGCCCAGACGCGGCCGCCAGGGCCGCCCCCAGGGATTCTGAGCGCGCACGCAATTGCGCTCAGAATTCGGGGGGGCAGCTCCGGCGGCCGCCCGGGCCTCTCGCGGGCCCTCGAGCTCTGGGCCGCCGCCGCCTTCGCCGTGGGCGCTGCGCCGGGAGCTGCCCTCTGGGCCGCCGCCGCTGCGTCTGCCGCAGGCGCTGCGCCCCAGGGCGTCGGGGTTGCGTCCTCGGGGCGCTGGGGCTGCCCTCAGGGCCGCCGCCGCCGCCTCCGCCGCGGGCGCCGTGCCCGTGGGCGCCGGAGCTGCCCTCTGGGTCCCCGCGCTCTCTGCTGGCGGGCGCCGCGCGGCCGTGGTCGCCGTGCACCGGGCGGCCGCCGCCTCCGCCGCGGGCGGGCCGGTGCGGCGGGGTGCCGGATCCCCACGCCCGGCGGCGCGGGGCTCTCTTGGCGCCACCGCCCGCGCCGCCAGGGGGGCGCCCGCCGCCGCCGGCTACTGGGCCAGCACTCCGGCGGGCGGCCACGGGCACCGGGCGAACAGGGCCGCCTCCTCTGCCTCCACCTCAGCGTTGCGCTTGAGGTGCGGGGGGATGGCCCTCCCCGCAAGAAGCAGCCCACCAGGCGGCCCGCCGCGCACCCCATGTACTGCCCCGACTCCCCGTCCAGCTGCGGGGCCGCCGGGCCGGACTGGGCGAGGAGCTCGTTCGCGGCCGCCGCGAGCTCCTCGCGCGTGCCGCCGAACACCGCCACGAAGTCCGTGCTCCCCGGCCCGTCGGGGTGCGTCGCCATGAAGGCGATCCGCCCCTCCCCGTCAGGGACCTGCAGCACCTTCGCGGCGCGCAGCCAGTTGACGGTGTTCTTGGCCAGGAGCGCCCCGTAGCCTGGGAGGCCACGCTCTACCTCCCGACTCCTCGCCGCGTGTGTCGTGGCGGCCCCAACCCATTGTAACAGGGCGGACGAGGCATGGAGGAAGCCACGCGGCACCCACGCGCCGTCGCCCTGCAGGCACAAGCGGGCGTACTCCCGCGCGCCCTCGTCCGAGTGCGGCGCGGCAAGCACCCGGAGGACCGGGCCCCGCAGCGCCCGCTGGGGCAGGTGTCGGATGCTGAAGGGCTGGACGCGGTTGTCGTACGCCCGCCGCAGCAGGCGGACCAGCTCCTCCACTGATGCTGGCGGTGGGCCACCCACCTCCTGCAGAAAGCGCAGGAAGGCCACGCTGTTGAAGGCGACGACGAGGGCGATCATCCTGAAGGCATCAGGGGCCGGGAGGCCGGAGAGCAGCCCCATGAGTCCCTCGAATGGTCGATCCTGCGATATGTGCACGTTGTGGCAGTGCATCCGGTCAATTGCCTGCGCCAGCGTTCACCCCCCTTGTGCCCGCGCCACTAGGACGCGCGCGACCGGGGCAGGGAGGCCGCTCAGCTCGCCCGCCGTCGTGCCTCGGACCCGTTCCCGGGCCGACACCGCAAGCACCAGCGCGGCCAACAGGGCCGCCACCACGGCCTGGCGGCCGTCCGTCTTGCTCTGCGTGCCGAAGTAGGCGCGCAGCACCGACCACTGCGCCCGCTTGACCTTCGAGCCGGCGCCTCGTACAAGGGCTTCGTACCGGCGCCTCGTGCTCTCAGGTAGCTCTGCCGCTTCAGGTCTCTTCAGGGCCGCACGCACCGCTTTCGGCGTCATCTCTTTCGAGAAGGCCCGCTTGCGGCCCCTCGTCACGGGTGGGGGCGCCGGACCGCCGCCCTGAGCCTGCGGCGGCGGGGCTGGCGGCGCCGGCGCGCCAGGAGGCGCCAGCAGGGTCTCCAGCGCCTCGGTGGTGCTGGTGGCGGGGGCCAACCCGCTCTTGGGGACCTGCTTGTCCAACGCGAGGCTCCCGGGGGTGCCCTTGCTGAGCTGCCTGGAAGTCCCCGCCCTGACGTACTTGGCGATGACGCTGATGCCCTTCCTCTTCGTCACTGCCCGCGGGGCCGAGCGGCCGCGCTGCCCAGGAGGCGTCTGCCGCTTGGCGGGGCCTGGGCAGGGGTGGCCGGTCCGCGCTCCTGAGGGGGCCGCCGACGCCCGCGGGGCCGGGCGGCCTCGCCTGGCGGTGGGCTCGTGCCGCTTCTTGGCAGGGCCCGAACGGGAGCACCCGGTCCCGGCTGCCGCGGCTCGCCGGGCTGCCATCGCGAGAAGGGGGAGGAGAGGAGGCCCGCCGCGGGGTAGGAGGAGGAGTTGAGAGGATGGCGCCCGCCCGGGCCAGGAGACCCCTTGACCCCTTGACCCCTCCCCTTGACCCCTCCCCTTGACCCCTCCCCTTGACCCCTTGACCCCTCCCCTTGACCCCTTGACCCCTCCTCCTCCTCCTCCTCCTCCTCCTCCTTCGCCCTCTCCGTCTCCTCCGCGTGGAAGAAATCCAACAGCATTTCGCGAAAATCAACGAACTGTGGCCCTCTGGGAATTTTTGAATGTCATTTTACGCCCTTTGGGGGCCGTCCTGGGGCCCTCTTGGGCGTCCTGGGAACCCGGAAATCATGTTCCCGGAGAAAATTCTGGGCACATGATTTCGAACGAGGCCCTCTTGGGCCTCCCTGAGGCCGTCTTGGGGGCCTCCTGGGCCGGCTTTGGGGCCTTTGGGGCCGTCTTGGGCTGTCTTGGGGCTCCTCGGGGGCCACTCTGAGGACGAAGCAAGCGAGTATGCTGAAATTGTACGTTTTACACGAGGAATGGGTAAAGTTTTGCCTTTTGAAGGCCCTCTTGGGGCCCTCTTCGGCCATCTTGAAGCCATCTCGGGCCCTCTTGAGGCGCTCTTGGACGTCTTGGGGCCCTCTGGGGCCTCGATGAGGCTGTCTTGTGTGCCTCTTGGGCTGTCACGCGGGCAGCGTCTCCGCCGTCGGCGTGGCCGTCGTCGTCGCGGTCGATCGTCGATCGGCGCCGTCGACTATTGTCATCGTCGTCGATCGTCGTCGTCGTCGGTCGTCGACCGTCGTCGATCGTCGTTGTCGTCGTCATCGTCGTCGTCGTCGTCGTCAATCACCGTCGCCGGTCGTCGTCGCCGATCGTCGGTCGCCCTCGAGCCTCCTCCTCTCTCCCCCCATCCTCCCCTCCACTCCTCCTCCTTGCCTCCTCCTTTTCCTCTTCCTCCTCCTTCTCCTCCTCCTCCTTCGCCCTCTCCGTCTCCTCCGCGCGGAAGAAATCCAACAACATCTCACGCAAATCAACGAACTGTGGTCATCCGGGCCATTTTGAAGGTCCTTTTAGGGCCCTTTGGGGGCCGTCCTGGGGCACTCTTGGGCGTCCCAGAAACCCGGAAATCATGTTCCCGGAGAGGCTTCTGGGAACATGATTTCGAACGAGGCCCTCTTGGGCCTTCCTGAGGCCGTCTTGGGGGCCTCCTGGGCCGGCTTTGGGGCCTCTTGGGCCGTCTTTGGGGGGGTTCCGTGAGCCTCACAGGACGACCCTTTTGGGCCGTCGTGGGCCCTCTTGGGTCTCTCTTGGGCTGTCTTGGGGCTCGGGGGCGTCTGGGGCACTGTGAGGACCAAGCAGACGAATATACTGAAAATGCATGCTTTACGAATGGGAATGGGCCGGTGTTTGCCTCTTGAAGACCCTCTTGGGGCCCTCTTCGGCCATCTTCAAGCCATCTCGGGCGCTGTTGGGGGGCTCTTGAGCGTCTTGGGGCCCTCTTGGGCCTCGCTGAGGCTGTCTTGTGGGTCTCTTGGGCTGTCTTTGGGGCCTCATGGGCCGTCTTGGGCGGGTTCGTTGACCCCACAGGACGCCCGGGGCGGCCATGCCAACCGGTGGCACCACCCCACCCCCGCCCCCGGGCCCCGTCCGTCTGTCCTACTGCTCCTCTCCAAACCCTCGTTCCCTAACCTCCCGATCATGTTCCCGGACCCCCGTCCCTTCCCCCCAGAGCACCGCAGCAGCAGGAAAGCGTTCCGAAATGGTGAGAAATCATGTTCCCGGAAAGCGTTCAAGAATATGAATCGTACTTCGTCCAAGGCGCCTCGGCCGGCGCAGAATACTCCTCCAAGGCGCGGAATCATGTTCCCGGACCGCCTTCCGGGAACATGATGGGGACGACCTCCTGAGGGCCTCCAGTGGGCCTCTTGGGGGCCTCTCGGAGGCCTGTGGGGCTCTCTTGGAAACGTCTTGGGGCGCGCTCAGGGCCATTTTTGGGCATCTTGGGGGCCTCTTGGGGGCCTCCAGGGAGGCTCTTGCGGGCCTGTTTGGGGCCTCTTGGGGCCTCGCGGGGCCCTCTTGGGGCCCGCTTAGGCAGTCTTGAAGCCCTGTCGGGGCTCTCCTGGAACCGTCTTGGGCGGCTCCTTGGCCATCTTGGGGCTCTCCTGGAACCGTCTTGGGACGATTTTGGGGGTCTCTTTGGCCGTCTTGGGGCGGTCTTGGGGGCCTCTTCGGCCGTCTTGGAGCGGTTTTGGGAGACTCTTGGACGGTCTTGGAGCGTCGGAACCCTGAAAAAGCGAAAAGGCCAAATACCTAGAAAAAACAAAAAACATCAACGATTGGCTTGTCGCGGCTCTGTTGGGAGGCCTCTTGGGATGCCTTCGGGGCCTCATGGAGCTCTCTTGAAACGTCTTCGGGGCTTGGCCATTCCTGAGGCTATCTATACGCGTCTTGGAGCGCTCGCGGGCCGTTTTCGGCGGTCTCGATCTGTTCCTGGCGGTCCCAGGGGCCCTCCGGGACGCTTCGGACGCTCCCGGGGGCGCCCTGCACCCCCCATGGAGATTACAGGCACCGCCCCGGGCCGCCCCCGGGCCCGACTCCGATATATGTATATGTATATGTGTGTGTATGTATGTATATATATATATATATGTATATATATATATATATATATATATGGAAACATACGTAAGACATGTAGGATTGTGTACACAGGAGAAGGACAAGCTATAGAAACATACGTACGTCGTCCAAGGCGCCTCGGAAGGCGCCTCGGAAGGCGCAGAATACTCCTCCAAGGCGCGGAATCATGTTCCCAGACCGCCTTCCGGGAACATGATGGGGACGACCTCCTGAGGGCCTCCAGTGGGCCTCTTGGGGGCCTCTCGGAGGCCTGTGGGGCTCTCCTGGAAACGTCTTGGGGCGCGCTCAGGGCCATTTTTGGGCATCTTGGGGGCCTCTCGGGGGCCTCCAGGGAGGCTCTTGGGGGCCTCTTTGGGGCCTCTTGGGGCCTCGCGGGGCCCTCTTGGGGCCCGCTGGGCTCGCTTAGGCAATCTTGAAGCCCTGTCGGGGCTCTCCTGGAACCGTCTTGGGCGGCTCCTGGGCCATCTTGGGGCTCTCCTGGGCCGTCTTGGGACGATGTTGGGGGTCTCTTGGGCCGTCTTGGGGCGGTCTTGGGGGCCTCTTCGGCCGTCTTGGAGCGGTTTTGGGAGACTCTTGGACGGCCTCTCTCTCTCTATATATATATACAGATATGCACATATATATATATATATATATATATATATATATATGTGTGAATATATGTATATATATGTATATATGTATATATACACATGTATATAACTAACTATAAATACAAACATACATACATTTGTACATACATACATACATGCATACATACATACATCCATCCATCCATCCATCCATCCATACATACATACATATATGTGTATGTATACATATATACGGAAGAACTTGAAATACGTGGAAGAAGTGGCACGACTCGGGAGGGCTTAGGGGAAGGGTTGGTTATATATATATATATACACACATACATATACATATACATATACATATACATATACATAAACATATACATGTACATATACATCTACATCTAAATTTACATATACATATATATATATATAGAAACATACGTAAGACATGTAGGATTGTGTACACCGGAGAAGGACAATCTATAGAAACATACGTACGTCGTCCAAGGCGCCTCGGAAGGCGCCTCGGAACGCGCAGAATACTCCACCAAGGCGCGGAATCATGTTCCCGGACCGCCTTCCGGGAACATGATGGGGACGACCTCCAGAAGGCCTCCAGTGGGCCTCTTGGG